GGCGGTGGTTATGGAACAGGGGAGTCTCGTGGAGAGTTCTTTTGGGGCTTCTCCAGTGGATTATATAAAGAAACATCAAATAATTACAAAAATGAAATACGAGTAAAACAAACCCAGTTTCTTTGATAACTCAAACAGGGAGAATAGTTGTTGTCGGGTGTTGGTGAATGCTGGTGTGCCACCCAAAATGTTGTGGCATGTCACATTTGACAAGTGTCCCATAGGTTCGCCATCACTGTTTTAGACTCAGCAGATCTTAATACTAGCATGCTGCACCACAGAAACCTGTAAGGATGGGGAGAAACAGATTCAGGATGAATTCTGTCTCAGCTCACAGTGCAGTCCAACAATTTCAAAGCACTTTAATAGGGCTGCCCTTGAAGATCATTAGGAAGCTACAGCTGGTCCGGAATACAGTGACATGAGTGGTTATGGGTACACCTTAGCTCACCCAGGTAACACCTCTGGTCTGGTAACACCAGTCAATTAAACTGGTGCCAGTTAGCTTCTGAATGGAATTAAAAGTGCTGTTGGAATTAAAAGTGTCATCTATACAGCCCTCTATGGCTCAGGAGCTGTTTATCGGCAGGACCACCTCTCTTCAATTATGGCTGCCCATTCTATTATAACTAGTACAGTGGGCCGTATCATTACAATTATGTTATCGTGTAGGACCTCAAAGATGTGTTTTTCTGTGTTTGCACCTGCCCTTTGGGATATTATCTCCTTGCTCCTCCAAAAGCCACATGGCCCTAAATCTGTTGTCATTTAGAAAAGCCCTTAAAATGTTGCTCTTTCACTTTGCGACCCTGCACAGATACTGGGATTTCCCAATATAGTAATCTACATTGGATTTGTTGTCATTTGTTAATTAGTTCAATTGATAAATAAGATCTAGTTATTGGAAGAAATTGAGATTAAATCCTAATACACAAATGAAAAAAAATTTAACATATAATGTTCTAAACACCTTATTTTCTCAGGAAGTAATATAATGAAGTCTTAGCAGGTGGTAGAACCTTGTTGACTTTGTCTGGGCTAAGCAGAGTCAGGGCCAGCTGGTAGTCAAATGGGAGATATCAGGGAAATCATGGCTGCAGGCTGCATACATTGCAAAGTCAAAGAATATCTCAGAAGGCGGCAATGACAATTTATTTCCATACTGTTGCTGAGAAAACAGCAAGAACATGCCTTCATAGTCAACAGGAATTAAGTTCAATTTGAGAGTGTCTTTATCTTTTTAATATAATGGAATTTAATAGTCACAAGAACAACAAATGCACAAAGCTAATAGTTATGCCAACTCAGCACTAAATAATGCAAATGCAAAAACTGAAAAGCAACCACATATAAGAGTTAAACACTCTGTCATGGCAAAAATACTAGATGTTTAATTCCTGAGATAAGGAAAGGAAATGCAGCTTTATGTAACATTTTTACTAAGGTACAGGAGGGGTGGATTTAGTTACTAGCCTTAGTTGTATCTGTGCCACATACAGCATTCCATACTAATGGTAAGGTCAGTGCTGGTCAGTTTCTTTATTTTGACGCATATATCACAATGCAACCAAAACCAAGTTTTGCTCCAAGCACTCTCATGCTGTCCTTTGCAAGCTACAGCTATACGTGCTGTTGCCCACACCAACTAGGAGGTACATGCAATGTATTAACATTACTTTAATGCATAAGATACATCCATAAAAGATATATTCAGAAAAACAATGCAGATGGTAATAGCTGTTACTTAAATTGATCAATATTTATTATTTTTAATGTACTGAGTTGTTACATAATTCCTAAGAACTAATCTCTGTCACAAATCAGAGCCAAGTAGTATCTTACATGTTTACACAATTGGGCAAACTGGATAAGTATCCACATCTCCACTTGTCAACAGACCAAAGAAACTATAGAAACTACCATACAAAAGCCCCATGCTACTATATGAATATTGAAAATCTCCAGTGCGGATTCTATCACAAGCATAATGGTATACACACTAAGGTTTATGGGCCTGATTCAGGTTGTGATCTTCTGCAGTTTGACAAGAATAAACTTAATCAAGCATATCAATACAGTACATAGTTGCAGCCTGTCACTATGCTATATAAGATGAAATATCAATTGTACCACACCACATTTTTTGAAGAATAAAAACAAGGGCACAGAGACTAAAAAAAAAAAAACCAGAATATTTTCAGACAAACTTAGTTTTGGATAGGGCCTGGCTATCTAAGGGACCTCTTATCTCCAGTGGTCTTTGTCTATCCAATTCAGTCAGGCAGGGTCGGTGTGCTCCAGGTCCCATCAATTAAAAATTGTCATTTGGCAGGACCCAGGAGATCCACCTAGTCTGTTGTCATTCCTGCCCTCTGGAATGAGCTCCCACCAGAGATTCATTTGACTCCCATTCTTATGTTGTTTAAGAAAATCAGTAAAGACCTGGTTGTTATCCCAGGCCTTGGGACAGGGTGATTGTGGAGCCCCTGTTTCGTTTAGCTGGTCTGTTTTGTTCTGGTTTTGTTTTGGTATTTTGCTCTTCCAGTTGGTTGCATTTTTTTATATGTTGGTTTTTTAGTTGTAAGCCACCTAGAGTTGTTTGGGAGTTGAGCAGTCTATAAAAAAATAAATTAAATAAATTAAAAATAAGTGAAAAATTCAAATAGATATTAGAAGTGCAAATGCTGTATTTTTCCTGAAGATACCAGTGACATTTTCAACCCATCAGTAGCTTTTATTTCTTTTTTCCAGCTTCTTAAGGTATCAACAAATTAAATATTCAAATTCTACACAAGTTCAAAAGTATATTTCAAAAACTTGGGATAATAAAGACAGACCAATGGCCTATGGAAAAGTAGATGATGTTTGATTTCCTTGTAAATGTTTAGCTTTGAATCACTTGTTAAAAACTCTCACTCAAATGGATGCTGTGTGCTTTTAATAAGAGGCTTATACATATGTTTTCAGAAGGTTTTTCCAATCCTCTAATTCATATAGAATGAAAAGAGAAACAGACTTTGAAAACTTAAAGCCAGGTCTCCAGGAAACAGGCATAAATAAATGAATAAAGAGGAGGAGGAGGAAAGGTGTGGTTGAATACTGCTTTTTCCAAACACAACACATAAACACAGAGCCTTCTTGAATCCTTATTTATTTACCTCAGACTCTTATCACAGCAAAATAAGGACTTACAATAAAGGTTTCAATGAAGAGAAAGAAAGAATGAAAGAAAGATTTATTCTTCTTTACCCAGTTGTTTTCTGTGCGCCTTTAGTCAAAAAAATGCCTTGAGATCTCTGCTGCCTGTGGCATAGGGCTGAAGGGTTGTTATAACTCGCAAAGAAAATGCGAAAGAACGGGGAAAATAGTGACCGTTAGCTACTACTATTCAAGACATTATTCTTATATGTAGCTTTTTAAAAAAAAATCATCTCTGAACATAAGCACATGTTTAGGCAGAGAATAGATAAAACTACCCCCGCCCGGCACAAATAAAAAGATTACTGTAGCGTCCTTGCATACAATTATATCGGGATTGGGGGGGGGGGCGCTGATTCTCGCTTTCTGCAGTTATGACAGTGGCAGAGCCTGGCGCCACGGGGAAAAAATAGCGAAGCACCCCCTGCCCCCGTCCCCCGACGATCCCGAAGCTCCCTGTCAAAGAGCCCAGGACCACAAATCAACCGCGCCCTTTTTGTTTATTTGTTGTCTCCCCGCTTCCCCTGAGGGAGCGCCCCTCCGCGCGGGGTCGTCCCTCCCCGTGCCCGCTGCCCAGGTGAAGAGGGGGTTATTCGAGAGGAGAGGAGCCCGTTATTGGCCTACTTACCATCAATCGCCATGATCTTCCAGGTGGGCCGTACCAAGTGGAACGCACGTAGGAGGCGCACACTGTCAGGCACAGCCTGGAAGAAACGGCGGCGGCAGCGGGAGAGACAGCTTCGAAGTGTGGGGGCAGGAGGCAGCACGGGTGGCAGCAAAGTGGAAGCGAAGCGCGCGCGCAGTTAGGGGGGTAAAACTGAGTGGCGCGTGCCGGAGCTGTGGTACTGCGCGTGACTCCTCCTCCCGTCGCTGCCTTCCTTTCTCACAGCTCCGCGCGCCCAGATTCGAAAGTATCGCTGGCTCTTCGTTTTCTTGTTTTTCCGTCCGTACGCAGCGGGGCCTTTGGCGCGGCCTCCCGAACTAACGGTCCTCATCGGCGGCGCCGCCGCTGCGCCAGGACGCTTCCTTGCCCACATCATTCTCCTTCAGTCAAGTGGCTCGGCAGTAAGGATGCTGCAGCTGCTCCGCACGAGCCAAACTCTCCCTTTCAGCCTTGCATCTGGCGCGCGTTGCCTCAGATTTCGCGGGCGTAGCTGTCGTCCTCTACACCTCCCTTGGCTGAGGAAAGAAGCAACAGGCAGATACCGATAACGTCGAAGAAAGCGACGGCTGAATCACTGTTATTTTTAAAAAAAAACGTTTGCGTATACTTAAGAAGAAACGACATATACATTTTCTATAACTATTATTGACATACATAGTAAGAAGTATAATTATTTTGCCCTCTCAGCCCACTAACTTAAGAATCAACACGATTTTAAACCTTTTAAACACCTGCATACATCGTGCTTGCTGAGTACGCATAAGATAAAACAGGGATCACCTCATTTTAAACCTTGTATGGTACTCTGTTTTTTCAATCCCAGCAGCCTATATGGAACTTTCCAGCTTATAAATGATTAGGACAGGGCACTGAGGACTTTACAAAATAATATTCAACAAAGGGTTGAGGACCTAAATGATAACAACATAGAATGCATATCTTAGAAATACATTTACAAAGCAAGATGTATATTTAAGATTTGTTAACATTAAGATATGAGTCTGTGTTAAACTACAGTTTCTTTAGAAGATAAAAGAGTAATATTCTAAATTAGGAGCAAACTAGAGCCAACAACATTCTTTGCAAGAATCCCAGCAGTTTAAAGACAATGAATGGTTGACCAGAAATTATACACAATCTATTTTTTGCCCCAATTTATAGCCAACATTATGCCCAAATCTTTGCCTACTCTTTGAACAAAGGTTGTTGAAACGGTGTCATCAGAAACTGTAAAGCAAATCAGAATTCAGTTGTACTTCCACATTTAGCTCTGATTTTAGATACCCAGGGTTCTTTTGTGATGGCCAATATTTGTTCAGTGGTTAGCTGCGTCTGAGTCTTTGTGACTTCCTAGACATCCTTTCTCCAGGACTGTGTCAGTAACTGTAAGTTCTTTTAAGTTGGTGCTTGTGTCATAATTGATAGCATCCAGCCACCTTGTTTTCTGACAACCTCTTTTTCAATTGCTTTTTATTTTTTTCAAGCATCAGAGTCTTTTCCAATAATTCTTGCCTTCACATTATGTGCCCAAAATACATAAACTTTAGTTCATTACAGTATTTGTGTTTCTGGTCAGTTTTCTGGTGTTACTGAAAGATTTGTTCTTCTTGTGATCCAAACTGTTTTCTCCAGCACCACTATTCAAAGGCATCTCCTTTTCTCTGATAATCCAGCTTTCACAGCCATATATTATATTTGAGAAAACCATAGTCCTGTTGCAATATACCTTAGCTGTCAAGGTGATGTCTCTACACTTTAATACTTTGTCTTCATTTGTCATAGCCTTTCTCCCAAGTAGCAGATATCTCTATTTCCTGTGAACTTTTCAGCCTGAGAAGATAAAGTCTGTTGTTACTTCAGTTCCATCTCTATCTATTTGCATTGGTTGGCATTGCATGTTGACATAATCTTCTTTTAAAAAAAATATTGAGCAGTAGACTGGCTTTTACACCCTCTTCCTTCACTTTTAACAAAAGGTTCCTTAAGTATTTTTCACTCTGAGCCTTCAAAGTGGGATTATAGGCATATCTATTGTTGTTTCTCCAAACAATTTTAATTCCAATTTCTATTTCATCTAGTCCAGTATTTCTCATAATATGTATTGCATATAAATTAAATAAATAAAGTTACAGCATACAACTTCGGCATATTCTTTTCCCAATTTTGAACCATTTGCTCAATATTCCATTCTAACTGCTGCTTCCTGGTCATCTAATTCTTCAACAGGCAAATAAGGTAACTAGTACAGGCCATGTTTTTAAGGGCTATTCACAATTTATGTGGACCACATAGTCAAAATCAGTAAAGCAAAATGGAGTTTTTGGAATGCCTTCTCCATTATCCTTCAGACAGTGTGTGCATCATTGGAGAAGGAAATGGCAACCACTCTAGTATTCTGCCAAGGAAAATAAGTGGATATTCATAACCAGGCCAGGAGTAGGTTTGCCCAATAAATGCTAAAGCTCCAACTGAATCCATTCTTGGCCACTGTAACACATTACTTAATTATATTCTGTTGAATTTGTTTAAAGTTCTATAATGTGGTTTGTATGGGGAAATGATAGAAACCTTCAGATGATCCAAAATGCTATAGCCAAAATTATTGATGGATGCTGGTTATAAGATCAGCTGAGTGCTTTGTTAAAAACAATTTCACTGGCTAATTATCTGTTTTGGGGAACCACAGAAATGTTGGTTATAACCTATAAAGCCCTAAATATTTTCGAACCCTAACCCAGAATTGTTTTCAGCAGGGGAATTTAATTTATTGATTTGGGAGACAAGAGATTCATGTAAATGATCTCTCAAATATCCACATTCTCTTTGGAGTTTGTGTTGTAAAAGCAACCAGTAGAATGGATTAAACCAGCCATGTTCAGCCTAGCCATGTTCAGCCTAGACGGCAACTTTGGATCTGTGAATAGGAAATTGATTATGGTTGTGAAGGTGTTGAGAGCTAGCCTAGTTACTATTTTTTAGTTAATATATGCTTGAGAGGAAATAATAATTGCTAATGTTCACTACAAGGGAAAAAAACCTACCTGAGAATTATACTAGCTGAGAATTAGGTAGCCTAGAAACCTGATGGGAAATAGGGAACTATTAGAGTATTAATGTAGTGAACCTCTTATCTTATGTTTGATGTGTATAAATACATATTTGTAAATAAACTGTATATCCCAGAAATGCTAATACAGGTAGTACTTGGGTTACAACCATTTGTTCACTAACCATTCAAAGTTATGATGGCCCTGAATGAATGGTACTTATGATGAGTCCTCATAGTTCCAGCCGTTGCAGCATCCCTGTGGTCATATGATCATGATTTCCAGTGTTCTGTGGCAGCTTTCCACAAGCAAAGTCAGTGGAGAAGCCAGTCGGAAGTTGCAGTTGCATGAGGTCCTCCATTAATGACCCATGTAGTCCTTGCTTAATGATGGCAACCAGGACTGCCAGAATTGTCATTGCTAAGCGATGCAGTCATGTGACATTGCACTTTACTACTGTGTTGCCTAGCAATGGCAATTCTGGTCCCAACTGCCATTGTAACCCAAGAACTACCTGTAACCTCCAGTGATCTTCTAAAGGAACTAAACTTTGTGCAAGTGTTGGCATCTTGAAGCTTCTTTGTAACTGCAAGTGAAGTATAGTACTGTATAACAACAAGAATAAAATATGAGATAATTAGCTTGAGTGTGCTATAAAAAGTAAAATGTAGATAAAGTAAAAATTCAGTGATAATGTTGGTATAACCCAAGAATGTAATGCAGACAGAAAGAAGCTCATATATTGATTGACAATGTGTTTATATTTTCTCTTTGTTTATATTATGCAATGCCAAAGAAGGCACAACATATTTTAAGAGAAATATGCTTTGGCGTTATAAAAATAACAGGAATAGCCAAAGCAACCATAATTTCATAATTGGAATAAACTGAAGTATATATTCTTAACCGTCCATGTAAGGAAATAAGGGTCCATGGTATTGTTGCATCATTATATATGATAAGCCCAACAAGCTCAGAACAAAGTTTACAGCTTTTCTACCCCTTATTGACAGCATGTGAATAATTCCTGATTCCACTGAAGTCAATACAGTATCTACTGTATTTTAAATAGTATTTCATGAAAAATATTTCCACCTGGGTGTTTTTACAGCTTTCATTGTTATGATAAAGGGAGTTAGCAGTATGAGAGATAACTGCATTTAAATGGCATATATGCCCGTTCCATTAGACCTGGCAGAATAGGCATGCTCTGGTTCTCATTGGTGAAGCAGTATCACCTGGTGAACCCCAGGAAGTATGCCTTTTCTGTCATGGTGTCTGTCTTGTGGAACACCCTCCCACCTGAGATATGGATGGCCCTGATCCTGTTGGTCTTTTAGAAAGCTGTGAAACCCTTCCCCAGGCACTGGGGCCAGGATGCTGATGGAGCTCTGACATGGGTGTGGTTTTGTTTGATATGTTGGTAATGTAATTTTTAGGGGCCGCAACCCAGTTTCTTTTAAACTGGATTTATATAGTTTACTTATGTTTTATTTCTGTTTGCTGCCTAAAGTTTCTTGGATAGATGGGTGGCTATATACATTTGTTGAATACATAAATAAATGTCTGTTGGACTTACATTTGTGTCATATGATGAACTGCAATCACATGACTGGACATTAGTAAATTTATTTAGGGAATGAAAAATCAGAAAAATGACATTGTATTTGCCTGGAGTGCCTAGCCTGAGAGCACATGAGGCAAAAGTTGCTGAAGAGAATGTAAGGTCTCAGAAAGCAAGGCTTTGTAACAGGAGGAAGCTGAATTTTACAGGACCTGAGACAGCTCCATGTGAATGTTTAAACAAGTCAGACTGCTTAGACAAAGTACAAATACAGTGTAGCTGTGATGGCTATGAACGAAAAATCAAATTTATCTTAGAGCAAAGCCTGAATAACAATAAAAAAATAGCATACACATTTTTGAATTCTTGGGAATCCTTTATTAAGTAAGTTAGGTAAATAGAGGAGAACTGGGTGCCCAGTATTGAAGCCATGGAGTCTGCAAAGTCACAGAGCACTTCCAAACCACATAGTTCCTACTCCCAATCCCTGACAAAGCAATTTGAATCCAGCCTGTGATCTTCTTCATT